GAAATAAGACAATGCAATTGTGTTTTCTTATTTTAAATGTAAATTGTCTTGTTCCATTGGCAAAATGTCTCTTATCTCCTCAATTCAAGAGCAAATGCACTTATTTTAAGAAACAATTACTTATCTAGATTTCGATTTTTTTCCAGTGAAAACACGTAATTTAAGAATTTTTTACTTACTTCTAGATGGTTTTTATCCAGTGAGCAAAGAGACTCATAGAGATTTTCTTCATAGTTGATTCCAGAAATCTCGTCCCTGTCCTGGTTCACCACCATTGTGCCTTTGGTTTTGGTGCTGGTGATCACCGCAGTCAAAGATGCCACAGATGACTATGTAGGTGCTACGATTTCACTCATATCTGCTTTAATCACAAAACTGCTTGGTAAAAATGATCACCTTTTTAAAAATAATTCCAGTTTCGACATAAGAGTGACCAGAAAGTGAACAACCGTCAGTCTCAGGTTCTCATCAGAGGAAGGTACTTCAGTCAGATCGCTTTTAAACATCTGCTGCAAACATTTAAACTCATCCACTCACTGTGGACTTTATCTGTTCAAGTTTACAGAGGGAGAAATGGATGAATGTGCGAGTGGGCGACATCATCAAACTGGAAAACAACCAGTTTGTTGCTGTGAGTAGAAAACACTTTTCTAAGATAACTTTAATAAAAAAACTTTTCACACCTTTTCATTGAAATGTTATGTAAAAGATTAACAGAAGGTACATTAACTCATTGGGATGGTGTTCTAGAAAAATGACAGATGGATTTTACACTTTAAATAAAAATCCGTTTCCATTTAGCCTCCATTATGCTGACCAGTGGTGCCAAAAGTACACACACTGCAAAAACGATCTAAAAATGAGTAAAAATGTCTTAAATTAAGTGTATTTATCCTTAATTTGAGCAGATAATTAAGATGATTTTCCAATGGAATGAGTATTTTGACTCTTAAAATAAGATAATTAGATTATATGCACGTGTAATAAGGCAATATAATTGTTTTTTCCTATTTTAAATGTAAATGTTCTTGTTCCATTGGCAAAGTGTCTCACTTACTTCCTTAATTCAAGCAAAAAATGCAATTATTTTAAGAAAAAAATCACTTATTGAGATTTGAATTTTTTGCAGTGCATTGGACGTTGCATCACTGCAAACAATCTAAATCTAAATCATTTTTTCTTAAAATAAGTGCATTTTTTCTTGGATTGAGGAGATAAAAAAAGACATTTTGCCAATGGAACAAGACAATTTACACTTAAAATAAGAAAGCACAATTGCATTGTCTTATTTTAAGTGCATATTCTCTAATTATCTTATTTTAAGAGTAAAAATACTCATTCCTTTGGAAAATAATCTTATTTACCTACTTAGAATAAGGATAAATAAACTTAATTTAAGAAATTTTTACTTATTTCTAGATTGTTTTTGCAGTGTATGTAGAAGTATAGACTGCAAAAACTATCTAGAAATTAGTAAAAAAAAAAAAATCTTAAATTAAGTATATTTAGTCTTAATTTGAGCAGGTAAATAATAAGATTTGCCAATTACACTGCAAAAATAATCTAAAAATAAGTAAAAATGTCTAAAATTAAGTGTATTTACCCTTAATTTTAGCAGGTAAGTAAGAGGATTTGCCAATGGAATGAGTATTTTTACTCTTAAAATAAGATAATTAGATAAAATGCACTTGAAATAAGACAATGCAGTTGTTTTTTCTTATTTTAAAGGTAAATTATCTTGTTCCATTGGCAAAGTTTCTCACTTACCTCCTCAATCCAAGAATACATGCACTTATTTTAAGAAAAAATTACTTAGGATTTACATTTTTTACAGTGTATTTCTTTAGGAATTAGTATATTTACTCTTAAAATAAGATAATAGATAATATGCACTTGCAATAAGACAATAACATTGTTATTTTTTGTTATTTTAAGTGTAAATTGTCTTGTTCCATTGGCAAAGTGTCTCACTTACCTTCTCAATTCAAGAAAAAATGCAGTTATTTTAAATAAAAGTGACTTATCTAGATTTAAAATTTTTACTGTGTGGATACTGCAGTTTAAAAACACTCTGGTAAAAGTTAAGGTATCAACTTGAATTCTTTACTGAAGTAAAAGTGAAGCTTTCTCAATTCAAAGGGACATTTTGAATTGAGAAAACAAACCCTGGAAACCAAGTCCAGTGGATTGTTTTTAAACTTTTATGGAATAATAAATAAAATGATCCATTGATTATTCCTGCTGACTGGATTTCTCCTTTATAAAAACCTTTCCTCATCTTTTTATTGAGATGTTATGTAAAGGATTAAAAGAACATCTTAAAGTATGGGGTTGGTGTTCTAGAAAAATGACAGATGGATTTTACACTTTAAATAAAATCCGTTTCCATTTAGCCTCCATTATGCTGACCAGTGGTGTCAAAAGTACACACATTTCTTACTTAAGTAGAAGTATAAACTGCAAAAACTATCTAGAGATTAGTAAAAAAGAATCTTAAATTAAGTATATTTAGCCTTAATTTGAGAAATGACAGATGAATTTTCGACTTTAAATAAAATCGGAAACATTTGCAGTCCATTCGTATTTATCCTCCTTTGTGCGGACATCCCTGAGTTTTTTTTAAAAACTTCACTTTCTTGGCATCGTATTTTAATCCCAAAGTATCAAAAAAACTTGTTTGCGTCCCTACTTTTAAAAAAGAAAATGTAAAAGTTTAAGGGGTATAAATACTGTTTCAAGGCACAACTAACTGCAAAATGTATTTCAAACCTGGTTACTCTGGATCTTCCTTATTTTTTGTGCATTTTTGTTGTTATTTAGTTGCCTGTTATTTGGTCTGCTTGTTTCTCCAGTCATAAAAACTATAATAGATTTGAAAATGGGAGCATTGCTGCAGCTTCTGTTACACAGATTAACTTATTGTCTTGTTTCACCACTTGTTTCCTTTGCATCTGCACACAGGCAGACATCCTCCTCCTGTGTAGCAGCGAGCCTTATGGCCTGTGCTATATCGAGACTGCAGAGCTGGATGGGTGAGTTCTGCATTACTTATATAAACAGCACACTGGAAAAAAATCTAAATCTAGATAAGTATTTTTTCCTTAAAATAAATGCATTTTTCTTGAATTGAGGAGGTAACAGAGAGACTTTGCCGATGGAACAAGACAATTTACATTTAAAATAAGAAAAAAATCTATTTCATTGTCTTATTTCAAGTGTATGTTATCTAATTACCGTATTTTAAGAGTAAATATTCTCATTCCATTGGCAAATTATCTTATTTATCTGCTCAAATTAAGGGTAAATACACTTAATTTAAGACATTTTGACTCATTTCTAATAGGGATGCACGATATAATCGGCCCCCTATCGGTATCGGCCTTAAAACTGAATATC